CCGTCCCTCCACCCTGCACCACCCACCCCTCCGAGAAAGCCCTGTCTCCCCAGCTGTGCACAGGGTCTGCAGAGACCATGGTGCGGTGGCCGAGAGCTGAGTGGCAGGGCCAGCAGGGGCCATGAAGAAGGGGGTCCGGGGGCCACGCTTGGGCTAGAAGGGCACTTCAGAAGGAAAGATCTGCTGAGCGCTAACTACACTGACGTCACTCGGGAAGGGGCCCAGAGGTCCGCCCGCTGCCCATCTGCACCACCAGAGCAGGCCTGGCCACTGTCACAGGCCACCCAGGGGACTTCTCCTTCTTCAGCTATTCTTCCTTAAACACTTGTGGGGAGCCGCCCTGGAGGCCCAGGCCTGGAAGCCCTGACCACGAGGTTCCCAGCACTGCTGCCTCCAGTCTGGCCGGGCAGTGCCAGCTCGCAGTGACTCCTGTCACCCCTCCGGATAGCAAGGCGTGGCCCCAGGCGTAGGCGTCACCCAGTCACCGGTCACTGCTGGGGTTGAGCTCCACTCCCCTGTTCCTTTGTAACCCTACCCCTTTGCCCTTTTGAGGACAGAATGTTCCATGGAACCTCCCCTCGTGAATCCCAGCACCTCGCTCCCTTTCCAAGGACCCTGGAGGTCGCAGAGCCGGAAAAGGAGCCACTGTGAGGCCGCCTGCTTTCATGGTCCTCTTCCTAAGTTACTGGGACAGTCAGGTTCTGTGAGCCAGCGTGGGTCTCCAGCTGGGACAGATGGCCATAAACAAATGTGGGTGGCTCCCGCGCAAACCCAAGCCTGACAGGCTGAAGCCCCCGGGGGGCGCTCCCACCCAGGCCCCTCCCAGGCCCCCGCATCTGTTTCCCCGGGAAACGCAGCCATGACGCCCCTTTCACGCCAGGCTCCCATCAGCCGTCAGCGCTGCCCACCCCTGGCGCCCTCGCACGCCTGCACCCACACGGGGTGGCCCAGCCTCCCGACCACCCATCCTTCCCCTGGGCCCTTGACTCAGGGCGGCCAGAGGTTGCAGATGTGCATAGATGAGTGGGGTGTGTGCGCACACACGTGTGCTCAAATGCGTGCGTGCAACCCAGCTGCTTAGTGAGAGCTCCATCCCCACCCGGGACCCAAGGCGGGATCGTCCACCCTCGGGGCAGAAGTCAACAGACCGCAGTGCACCGCCGGCACCGCCCACCTCAGGTCTCCACGACGACTGCCAGTCGGGTCCCCCACACGTACAAGCTCCGCAGCACCCCCTGCCCCTGGCCAGCACAGAGCCGCCGCCACTTCCTCCGCCATCGGCCAGTTCCAGTGCCCGGCAGCAGGGGGCAGCAGTGGCCCAGGCGGCTCTCCCTGATGGTCTGGGGGCCTGTGACTCCTTGTCCCTCCACATTCAAGGCTGAGCCCCCTGAGAGCCGGCCCAGGTGGCGGTGACGTGCCCATGGAAGTGACAATAGGACCACAGCGGCACCTCCTGAGCCCGTGGGAGGCACGAGGCGCTGTTCTCTAGCGCCCCGAGAGGTCGGGGTAACCTCGTGCCCACTTCATGGACGAGGAGCCTGAGGCCTGAGCAGCCCCAGAGAGCCGCTGGGTGGCCTGATGCCATGGGTGGGGTTTGTGGGGAGGTGGGTGGGGCCAGCGGAGTGTCCTAATGAGCAGTGGAGCTGTCTCTTCCGGGGCCACCAGACTTGTGGCCAGTGGGGACAAGGCCCCTACCTTGCCCGAGCAGCGGTGGCGGGGACAGGGGTTCCTCCCGTCCACAGACGTCCACAGAACCCCACGTCAGTTCCCCGCCAGGTCCCGGCAGCCGCCCGTCCTCTCCGCCCACCTCTTGGCCCCCCGCTGCCCTGCACCGGTGGACGGGAGCCCCGGTCCTTGGCTGGGTGTTGGACGACGACCGGGGCCAGGCGCCCGCAGACCCAGCCGTGGCCCAGCTCCCGCAGCTTGTGCCGGAGCCAGCAAAAGACGGGTGGTTGGGGGGGACGGGGCATATGTCAGGGAGATGAGGACCAGGCCAGGGTGCGGCCGCCGGAACCAGGGGCCGGGCCACAGCAGGTCCCACAGACCCCGTCCTCCCACTCCCCAGGAAGGCACGACGGTTCCAGCTGCTGTGACCTCTTGGTGGTCCTTGTGGTCCACAGTTTGTGCTTCTTATTCCTTCACTGTCTGGAGAAGTCTGGGCTGAGGAACAGAGGCTGTAGAAGGGAGGCTGTAGAAGGGAGGCTGTGGAAGGGAGGCTGTGGAAGGGAGGCTGAGGAAGGGAGGCTGAGGAAGGGAGGCTGTGGAAGGGAGGTTGAGGGAGGGAGGCTGAGGAAGGGAAGCTGAGGAAGGGAGGCCAGTGCTCACCCCCCACAAGACTCCTGCTCCTGAGGGGGCACCTGGGCCTTGGCTGGCCACGAAGGCTGTGCTGCATTGTGGGTGCAGCCAGAAGAGGCGCCATAGCCTGGGGCAAGGAGAGGCTCCCCTCCAACCAGAGGCCAAGAGGGACACAACAAGGGAGTGGGACCAGGGGACCCTGGGCGGTCACATGGCCCCCTGTGCCTCCGTTGCCCCAGGGACGGGGAATGAGGGCTGGCCTGACTCGACCCTCTGTCTCTTTCCACACTGGAGGACCAGGACACTCAGGCGTGTCCCCAGCTGTGGCCTTGCAGAAACTGCGATGGTGGGGCGAGTCCCAGCAGGTGCTGTAGGGGCAGCTCCTGGGGCCCCTCCCAAGAACTCCCTGGGGAGGGAGCAGGGAGCAGCTGGGAGCGTCCCCAGAGAAAACTGAGAGGCTCAATCCTGCCCCCGGGGTTACAAAAGAGGAAACTGAGGCTCGGGGTCAGCAAGCACCTTACCCTGGTCACTTATGACAACTGTCAGAGTCTGGCCCCTGTCCCTTTGGATTTTTTGTCCCCCCACTATGCTGAGGTCAGCCCCAGGGCCTGAGACATGCTAGTCAGGCACTGAGCTACCACGGAGCCACTGAGCTACAACCCCCACCTCTTGGTCCCTTTAAATACGGTCCCTCCTTGGATGGAAATGAGTTCTCCTCGCAGGGAGGAAGATAATGCTAGGACACTTCCTGCTGCCAGCAATAGGAACCCACCACAAACCAGCTTTAGCACAAAAAGGGAACATATCAGCTCGTTGCCCAAGTCAGGATAGGCTGGGGCGTGCTGCGTAACAAATGGCCCAGCTCTAGCCACTTCAAACAACAAAGGGTGGATTTCTGCCTCATGAAAACATCCAGCACAGGTACACTGGGAACACTGGTCCTCGCCCCTTCAGGCAAAGACCCCGGCTGATGGAGGAGTCACCATGTGTCACCACTGGTCACCAACACAGAGGAAAAGCACTCTAGGGGGCATTTTGACTATAGTTGGATGCTCTCTCCAGAAGTGAGATTTGCCACTTCTGCTCAAAGCTCAATGGCCAGCCCTAGTCATGTGGCCTCCTGTGACCACAAAGGTCCAGGAGGTGCAATCCTGGCATGTGCCCACAAGGCCCAAAGCTGGAAATAATTGGTGCAGAGCATAATGATTTCCATACTCATGGACCTCAAAAGTCTGGGAGGTATATGATTTCAGGCATGGCTGGATCCAGGTGCTCAAGAGATACTTCCAGGAATAAATTTCCACATCTCAGTCCTGCTGTTTGCCCCTGGTTCCCCCAGCAGCTCCCAGGCCCGGGCTCTCCCCACAGCTCAGCAATCCCAGCAGACAGCAGGCTGTGGCTGTGCTGAGGCCACACGGGTGCTCCCTGGACTGGCAGCAGCCCCACCCACAGGAGGCAAAGGCACTGGCACCCACGGGTGTTCGCGCAGAGTCTTCGACCCCTGGACCTGGGTCCCCTGCAGCAGAGCTGGGTGAGCGAGGGTGGACGAGGACCCAGAGCCTCAAGTTCAGCTTCCAGCTCTAAGGATGGGTCTGGTGCACGGCCTCGGGCAGGTGGCTGTCCTGCCCCTCAGAGCCTGCGGATGGGCCTGGCGGCCAGGAAGCACCACGGGAGGACACGGTGGTGCACCAGGCGGCCCTGAGGGCCATTCCACAGCCCAACCCCAGGACCTCCTCCTCCAGCCCCCCAGCCCCGGGGCCCATGAGCCCTCTACCCCACCCGCTCCTGCCCCGGGAGGCCCACTGTGCGCCCTGATGCTCCGTGTCTGTTTCCAGTGGTCAGTTTGCGGCTGGAGGTCAGCCGTGGTGGAACAGTCACCCCGAGGCCAGGAGAGAGCTACAGACCAGGCTTTATTGAGTGTCTACTATGCACCAGGCTCGGGGAGGTCAGCGGAGGAGGCAGATCTCGGGCTTTGTCTTCGTTGTCCGGCTCTGTCTCTCCACCTGTTTGTCCTTCCATCCGTCCGCCTGTCCGTCCGCCTGTCCTACTTCCTGTCCATCCTTGGTGGGGGCCTCTCTGGGCCCCAGCCTCTGCCGCCCTGTTCACGTGCGGCCTCTCCTTCAACGGTGGAGTCCGGGAGGGGCCCAGGCCACAGCCCCCTGGAGAACTGAGCCTCCCCGGGGAGCCTCCGCTCAGGTGGCGTCTGCAGGTGCCACCTTCAAACTGCCGCTCGCGGGAGGTGTGACAACCACAGCCACCTCAGCCCAAGGGCCCAGGGGGGCGGGGCGGAGGCTGCTCACAGGAGCAGGACCCGGGGTTTCACCCAGGCGCCCAGTCCCCAGCCTTCTAGAACTTTCCAGCGCTCACGGAGGACTCCTCCAGGATTTCTCTCAGCAACTTCTCCCAACTGCCCTGCTTCACAGGAGAGTGCTGGGCAGACTGTCAGCAGAACTAACCCAGCCCGGCCCAGCTCCCGAGCGTGGGATCCCGGGCCTCCTTGACCCTGTTGGCCCCAGACGCCACCTCTAGGTGGGCACCCCGGAGGGAAGGCCGTCTAACTGCTTGGAAATAACAACAGAGGCGTTTGTGAACCGTCTGTCACCCACAGCTGGCTCTGGGACTGAAGTGAGGCCGGTGACATGGCTCCATTTCTCTTCCACAGGCTCTGAGAAGTCACGGAAAACCGACCGTCCCCGGTCCCCAGTCCCCGGGCTGGACACACAAGACCTCAGGGCTGGGGGGCTGGGCCTGCTGCAGGGCCCGAGGATGTGGCCTCCGGCCGCCGGTTCCTCCACGTGTCCCCGACACCCGTGAGTGCACAGGGCGGGTCCCCTGGGCACCGTGCCCACTCTGGGCTCCCAGCGCCTGGCACCGTGCCCGGCCTCTATCTGGTGCTTGATAAATATTTTTGAGGGTACAAAAGGGGATTTTTTAAAATGGGCAGCAGAAGCCAAAAAAAGACCCTGGTGGCAGGGACTGTTTCCAAGGGACACGGCTGAGCGGTTCGAGGCCCGGAAACCCCGAGTACCCGCTTCAGAGGGCCCTGGGCCCAGGCTGTCAGTGTCACCTGGTTTCTCACCCCAGCCACCTCTGCACGGGCAGGAAGCTGGCGGAGGGGCTGCTCAGGCTGCAGACTGAACCGGGGCCTCCCCACCCCGGGGCTGGCCCGGCTCCTGTGCAGGTGAGGAAGCAGCCCAGAGAGGGAGTGCGACTTGTCTGGGCAGCACAGCAGGGGCCCCTGGGCGGAATCTTCCTGCGCCCTGAGGACTCACCCCCCTCCCCAGCCCGTCCTGAGAGGCCGCAGGGTCAGCCTGGACATTTGTGGCTGCTGGACTCTTCCCTGGTCCTGGGGTCTGGCTTGGCACCTGTCACAGGCAGTGCCTGAGCCCAGCAGGCTGGTGGACCAGCGGCCTTTGCCTGTGCCTGCGGGTGCTCTGTCACAGCCAGGGCCACATGCAGCTGGGGACACGCCACTGCACACCCAGCCACGCACACCGAGGGCCGCGGGCCTGTCTCTGCTAGTGCCCGGGTGGCCATCCGTGGTGGCCAGCTGGGGACAGGGCAGCTGGGTCACCACCTCGCTAGCTGGCCTGGGCCGTGGGGCCGGCGGGCGGAGGGCTCCTGACCACCCACTGGCGGAGGTAGCTGCGGGGCGGCCCCTCGTCCCCGGGGCCAGCGAAGTCACACTCGACGGGGCTGCCGCAGTCGGAGCCCGCGAAGCCGCTGTCGAAGGTGTCCATGTCCAGGCCGGCGGCTGGGGACCCGGCCTCGCTGTCCGGGGCGCCCCCTGGGGACCAGCCCTCCTGGTCGGCCAGGGTCAGCTCCAGCCTGTCCAGGAGGCCGCCCATGGGGCCGCCCAGCCCGGGGCCGCCCGACGAGACGCAGCCGCAGGACAGGACCGTGGTGGCCGGGCCCAGCAGCAGGTCCCCGGGGCCCGGCTCCAGGCTGGCGTCCAGGCTCAGGGCGGGGTAGCCATCGTCCCCGCAGCTGCAAGGCCAGGTGCACGGTCCCTCGGCGTCCACCACGGTCACCGTGTCGATGGACACCAGGCCGTACGGACGGTCCCTCTCCTCCCCGAAGGCTGAGCCTCCCGAGCCGCCTGCTCTGGGGGAGGCCGGGCCCCAGGAGCGAGGCTCCGACACCCCGTCGGCCTCCAGCAGGTCCTCGGGCCCCGCCAGCCCTGGGGACTCCGGTCCCTTGGCTGGACTCCGTGGGGGGACGCAGGCGGGCAGCTCCAGGGTGGACAGTACCACGGTGCCCCAGGGCCCTGGGTCCAGGCTGGGGGCGCAGAAGGGCGAGCCCACCCATCTCTGTGGAAGAGACAGAGAGTGAGGCGGGGACGCAGGGCACAGGACAGCGGGGGGACGCAGGGCACAGGACAGCGGGGGGACGCAGGGGCACAGGACAGCGGGGACAAGACATGGGGGGGGGAGGGCATCAGGACCCCGACGGCCCGCGTCCAGAAGGTCCCCACCTCTGTCCTGCCCACTCTGGGCCTCAGCGTCCCCACCCATCGTGGGCAGCGCCTGCCCTCAGTAGCCTGCTCAGTCACGGGTGGCCCCGAGGCCTGGGCTCTGCTGGGTGCGGGGACAAGGTTCCCAAGTCCCCGTGACAGGGGTCGGAGGCCTGGACAGACCCCTCTCTGTCCCCCCTCTCTGTCCCCCCCTCCGTCCCCTGTTCTACTTCCTCCTTGACCATCCACAAGCTCCACGTCCTCCTGTTTCTGTGTCCCCGTGAGAGGGGACACTCAGCCCCTGCAGAAGCCTCACCTTCTGGGTTCGTGCACACAGCAGGTGCACAATAAGTGTTTATGAACTAAGGAGTTGAGTGAATCAATGACACGGCCCTTGAAGTGCAGGTGACAGGGACACAGTCAAGGAGACAGTCGGGCCTCAGGGGAGAGGTAGGCAGGTCCCAGGTCCCTCCCTGCCCCCCTGGGCCCTGGGGGCTGCACCAGGTAGACAGCAGGAGCTCAATCAGTGCTCTGGGTTGTCTGGCTCAGCTGGAGCCGCAGGTTGCCCCTCCCCCGTCACCACATCCTGTCTTTGGGCGCCTCCTGGGGGTGCGGAGGTGGCAGAGGGTGCTGGGCAGGAAGGGGTGACAGTGGCAGCAGGACCCTCCCTGCCCACCAGGTCGGGGCGGCCAGGGGAGGCCCAGGCCAGGGCCTGTTGGGACCCCGTGGGTCTGTCTCTGAGCTGGGAGGCCTGGGGGCCCGTCCGGGTCTGGTGACATCACATGCTGTTGCCCTGGGGACTGGGACGCCCAGGTCCCACGGGGCCACCACACTCGGGCCCCCAGGGTGGCCACGTCCAGGCGGAGGTGGGGATCTGGGAGGGGCCCGCTCACCTTGAAGTCCCCACCGTGGCCCTCGTACAGGGGCTGGAAGAACCGCTTGGGGCTGGGCACCGGCGCCCACACCTTCTTACACAGCCTAAGGGGACAGAGACCACCAGAGGCTGTGACCGCAGCCAGAGGGGGCCCCGACTTGTCCTGCAGGAGACGCAGCCCCTCCAAGACAGTCCTGGCCCCCCACCCCGCCCAGCCTCTGATTCCGCCTCCGTGAAGTGGGAGCAGGGGGTCTCCGGCCTCTGGCAGGTTCCTGAATGAAGAGGTTTGGAGCCTTTCGTGTGCAAACACTGCTGTCCCTTCTGAGCCTCCGCTTCCAGGGAGGACGGGTGGGACAGCTCCACGGGGCCAGGGCGGGACCACCTAGGTGCTGGGTGCTGGTCCCCCGCCCGTAATCCCAGCAGCTCGGGAGGCTGAGGCAGGAGGATCGTGAGTTCAAAGCCAGCCTCAGCAACTTAGTGAGGCGCTCAGCAACTCAGTGAGACCCTGTCTCTAAATAAAATGTAAAAGGGCTGGGGACGGGGCTCAGCGGTTGAGCGCCCCCAGTTCAATACCAGGTACGCCCCCAGAAAAGAGCGAATCCGCTGGCTAAGCAGAGGGGGTGGGGGAGGGGTGCTCATGTCACTCCACCTGGCAGCCAGCCCCTGGTGCTGCTCAGGCCTCAGAGCTTAAAACCCAGCAGACAAGGTCACAGCTGAGGTCGCGAGAAGAGCACAGGGTCCATCCTGCCTCTGCTCCTAGCTGTGTGGCTTTGGGCAAGTTCCTTGACAGCTCTGTGCCTTGGCCTCGCTGTTTGTAAAACAGGGGTAACTGCTGTGTATCAGCTCGTGGGCTGCCGTGGGTGATGTGGGTGCTCTGCACGGCATCCGGCACATGGTGACTGTGAGCTGGCCATTAGCTTCACCATCATGGTGACAGGCCTGTCCCCCAGCCCCGGGAGGGTCTTGCTCAGAGGGGCCATGGCCCATCCCCCTTCCCTGCTGAGGACCCCAGCCTCACCTCCAAGGCAGGTGGACCTTCAGGCCCAGGAAGACAAGGACAGGGCCCAAGATGACCAGCAGGAGCAGCAGCAGCATCTGGGGCGGCCCCCAGCCTCCCCTGGACTCTGCAAAGGAAGGCAAGTGACTTCATCTCCACCTGTGATCCCGGCGGCTCGGGAGGCCGAGGCAGGAGGATCGCAAGGCCAAAGCCAGCCTCAGCAACTTAGCGAGGCCCTCAGCAACTTAGCGAGGCCCCGTCTCAAAATAAAACATAAGAAGGGCTGGGGTGTGGCTGGGTGGTCAATGTCCCCTGGGTTCCATTCCCTAGACTGAACCCCCAGGGCTTCCCCTCCCTGAGCCTTGGTTCCTAACTTGCTGAACGGGGCTCGGCGCCTCACTTCAGAGTCAAATGTGCCCCCAGAAGCAGCGGCTGGCACCTGTCCTGGGGCCTGGCAAGCAGCGGCTCCGCCTGAGGGTGAGCAACAGAGTGGACGCCTCCCAGCCCTGCTGGACGAGGACCCGGGACCAGAGCTGGTACCAGGAGGGGACCTCCACTCCGGGGTCACACCTACCCTCCGGCGGGGTCTGAAAGATGACGGGGTCGCTCCACTCACTCCAGGTCCCCCCGAAGGAGGAGCCCGGCTGGGGGCCCGCCCGCACCTGCAGCTCGTAGCTGGAGCCCGGGCGGAACTCCAAGGGCAGGAGGGAGACGCTCCTCGAGTCCACTGACACCAGCTTTGTCACGGGGCTCTGCAGGGAGGAAAGGACGCTCCGGTCAGGGTCCCCGGGGGGCCAGCCCCTGCCCCTCGCAGAACCGCCTTTCAGCAGCCCCCCGAGGGGGCTGGGGTCTCCTCTCCTGCAACAGGAATCAGGCTCCGGCCCAAGCTGGCCGCTCTCAGCAGGGCCTGGGCCTTGGCTGGCGGACTCCCTAACTCCGGAGCAAAGGACACCTGTGAAGCCTCCACACTGGGAACAGTTGGCTCTCTAACCCTGGGCCCACCCTCGGATATGTCTGGGACTCTCCAACTATGGCTCTTCTCAGCAAAGTGGGAACCTTCCAGAAGGTTCCAGAAGGTTCCAGAAGTTTCTGAAACCTCCTGGAATCTTCCAGAAGGTTCCAGAAGGTTCCGGAAGGTTCCGGAAGGTTCCGGAAGTTTCCGAAACCTCCTCTACTATGGTTTCGTGGGTGGGACCTGGAGAGGGAGGGGAGGAAGCAGGGTCAGGGAGGGAGGCGGGCAGGGGGTCTCCCCCCACCAGGGAGAACTCAGTGGTGCCTGGGGCCGCAGAGCTCACCTGTCACTCACACTCCCCGGCTCACACCTGGCTGCTCCCTCCCCTAGCCGGGCCGCCCACGGGTCCTCACCCGAGCCCAGGGGTCCCCGCGGTTCCTGTACTGCAGCTCATACTGCATCCTGCCCCGCAGCGCGTAGAACTCAGGCTCCTCGTAGTCAGAGCGCCAGGAGACGTTGTAGTGTCCCGAGAAGGTGACCGTCACGTTGAAAGGAGGAGCCGGCTTGACTGAGGGGAGACACCCAGAAAGATACCGCAGGGTGGGACTTAGCTGCAGTCCCCGCCCTCCCCCGGCCACCGCCCACAAGGCCAGGGTCAGCAAGCCCAGTGACTGGGCACAGCCCTCCCCGCCTCTAGGTCTCGGCTGCTCAGACCAGGCGTGGGGTACAGCCTTGGTGGCCACGGGCAGGTGTCAGCCGAATGGGGACACAGGTGTGAGGTGATAGAGCAGAAAGGGCTGTTCTCGGACTTAAAAGGGACAGCCAGGACCCTGCCCAGGCTGGCCAGGCGGAGGAGCACACACCAGGACTGTCTAAGTATTTCCAGGAACCAAACCAAACAAGACGCCGTAAAACCCGGGAACCTAGAGCGTCATGGGAAATCATCCAGTTTTGTTTGTTTTTGTTTACTTTGTGGTACCGGGGGCTGAACCTGGGGCGCTCAACCCCTGAGCCACGTCCCCAGCCCTTTCCATGTTTTGAGTCAGAGCCTCCCTACATTGCTTAGGGGCTCACTCAATGGCTGAGGCTGGCCTCCAACTTGCAATCCTCCTGCCTCAGCCTCCTGACTCACTGGGATTACAGGTGTGCGCACGGCCCGCACGCAGGACAATGACGACGGCTCCTCAGCCTGGAGCTGCCCTGCTGCTCTGTGCTGGGCAGACTGACCCCACGGGGGGCCCTGTGAGCTTGGCTCGATGCCCTCCGCGCCCGGGTGAAGGTCAGAGCTGTTCCCCTCTTCTCCATCCCAATTTGCCTGATGAACTTGGTCAGGACCCGGCCTTACAGTCCTGCCCTGGGTAAGGGAACCAGTTTCCATCTCACTGTCCTGGGGACCAGGCTGAACAGCAGAAGGTGCTGACTGCGGGGGACGGTGACCAGCTGTCGGCCTCTGAAGCCGCAGCCCTCCCCTGCCCCGGCTCTGCACCTCCAAAGGCCACCGTCGCTCGGCGCTGGGTCCCTGGGGCCAAGGCCTGTCCTCCTGGCCCCGTCTGAGCCCCCGGCTCCTAGGACAGGCCTGGGGCACGGCGGCCCTCCATGAACACGTGTCACATGAACAATGGCCCTTTGAGGGCTTCCAAAACGGGACTGCAGCCTGCTCAGGTCTGAAGCACCCGGGGGGGGGCGCCAACTGGGGGGGTGCTTCCTTGCTGGGCAACAGAGAGGTCCCCACACTCTTCCCCTCCCCAGGGCGGTGGGGACCGGTCCTGGGCGAGTGACCTGCGCTGAGGTGCAGTCCAGGATGACAGCAGGTGGCTGGCATGGCCCTGCGCTGCCCAGGATGCTGGTGGGTCTGGGGTCCTGGGGGGCTCAGCGCAGGGGCCCCAGCCCCAGGAGGAGGGAGGAGGCCGGGAGGGGAGGCAGGAAGTCACCTCCTGCCCTGGGCCCCGCTGGCCTCAGACCCCGAGAGACTGCCAACCTGGAGCCACTCAGCAAGGGGCAGGGGCCACCTCCCGGCCACCCGGCCCCCTGACCCCCCCTCTGCTCCTGGGGCTGCGGGGGCCTCGCCTCTCCCTGTGAGTGTGCATGTGTGTGCTGGTGCGGGTGTGTCAGTGGGTGTGTGAGGCCGTGTGGCATGGGCGTGTGACAGTGTCCCTGCCTCCTAGGCCGGGGCTTGGGGGGACGGGTGGGTGTGTCAAGGGTGTGTCACGGGTCTGTGTGGGCGCGAGCGGAGCCTGTGAGTGAGTGTGGTGGGTGTGTGTGGGTGTGCAAAGCCTGGCTCCCGCCCTCCGTGGTGAACCGCACACAGGGCCACCCGACCCGGAGCGTGAACCCAGACACTCGGGGACATGGTCACACACACAGCCAGGTTGCCTTCCAGACCCTTCTCTGTCCCTGCCTGGCCCTGGGCTGCCCGGCCCTGGGCTTGGGGACACAGGACACAACAGCCTCCTGCTCCAGCCGCAGGAAGGGGAGGAGCCAGGTGGGTCGGGGGACCTCCGCTGGCCTCTGTGGGGACAGCGTCCCTTGGGCTGGCGGGGGAAGGGCCTTCTCTCTGCTCAGGGGGAGCAGCCCCAGGTGACGCACACCTTGTCCAGAGTCACACCCACGGGACGGGCAGGGCCCAGCCAGGACCAAAGCCGGGAGTCCCGGGTCCTGGCCCAGCTCTTCCCAAACCTCCAGGCGCCTCATGGGGTCAGCCGAGGCCCAAGCATCCCCTCCCCCCTAGTGACAGGGCAGGACCTTGATGGGCCCCAGGACAGGCCCTTTCCAATGGAGCGGACAGCGGCTCCGGGCAGGAGCATGGGCCCAGCCCCCCTGGTCCCCACCAGGCCAGGTGCTCACTGCTGACACCTGGTCCCCACCAGGCCGGGCACTCATTGCTGTCACCTGGTCCCCACCAGGCCAGGCGCTCACTGTTGTTACCTGGTCCCCACCAGGGCCGGGCGCTCACTGCTGTCACCTGGTCCCCACCAGGGCCGGACACTCACAGCCGTCACCTGGTCCCCACCAGGGCCGGACGCTCACTGCCGTCACCTGGTCCCCACCAGGGCCGG